TTTGTTTGTAGGAGCTGGTTTTAATGGAACTATTGAAGAAGCTTTACTTGATGTTCAAATAGAAGATTTATGGATTCCATATTTTTGTATAACAACTGATATATCAGCATCAAAAATGCGTGTACATACAACAGGTAATATAAAAATTCTTTTATTGGTGTTGTAAATAATTAACGAAAAAAGACGTATGTTGCTATAAACAAAACAAAAATAACATTTAAATTAGATATGAGAATTCCCATATTTTTCTACAGGAAGTGTTTGGCGTTATGTACGTGCATCAATGACTTATGCTTTTTATCTTCCACCTATGTGTGATCCATATGATGGACATCTTCTTGTAGGTGAGAATTTCAGATGAAAAAAAGAACAAAGAGTTAAAAAAAACATAAACACAAAAAACAAAAATAATTTTTAATTTATTTTATTCAGATGGTTGTTATGTGAACAATCTTCCTGGTAAGATTTTAAAGGACTATATAAAAAGAAAATCAATTTAATCAATTGATTTTATTCTTTTATATCACAGATTCCTGGACAGTTGTCAAAGCATATCATACGTCTTTTTTCGAGTGATAATTTTATCGAGTTCTATTTATGTATATTATTTGAGTTTTTTTCTATTATATAAATATAGGATCATTATGGCGGTATGTTAGAGCATCAATGAGTCTTTCGGGTTATTTTCCTCCGTAAGTTTATTTTAATAGATTGTTGATTGCAAAATCAGGCTTTTCTCTTGGTCTGATAGATTATGTGATCCAAATGATGGACATTTATTACTTGATGGTGGATATGTAAATAATTTACCGGGTAAGATATAGTCGTGGTTAAATATTGTTATTATTACCAATATTTTATACATATCTTAATAAATTGAGTTTTGAAACTACGAATTGTTATTGAGAGTGTTAATTATGTAGGATGCACAAAAAAATTGCTTCACTTTTGAATTATCTCCACCGTTTAATACTATTTTAGCTACATAACTAAGAAAGTTCGATATCTGATTTTTAAGAAAAAAGCTAAGATTTGACTTTCACAATGAAATCTTCTGATCACTAATGTTAATTAACTTATAAGATATATCCTAATCAATGAAGAAAAAAACGAGACTTCAGTACTCTGAAGTCTCACTTTTCCTCCTCGGTTCTAATATACAGACAGACATGCAATGACATTATGTTATAATCATTCAATAAATCTTGCTATGACTTTTGAGATAAGTAAAGTTAATATTAGAATCCTATTCTATTTTCAAAGATGAACAAATAGTTTCCGACAGAGACTGAACGTTAGTACGTTCTTATGATAGCCCAAGTGTTCTCTCAGTATGTAATCATAGAACTTATTTTACACATTACATCAGTGGCTACAAAATGGTACGCTTCATATTTTGATCAACATCTCATATCAAGAAAAAACCAACAATATTTGAAAAATCTTACGCGTTTTTTAAAGTAGACTTTACAATGTTAAGTGGTTTTTTCTGAATAACACACATTTATAAAAAAAAAATAAATAAACAAAGGACGTGTTCTGTAGCCACGGATGGAACGCATTAAATGAGCTCTATACCTATCAAAGCTATAATATGAAAAACTGTATGAGTTATAAATATTTTAAAGTAATAAATTTTATTCATAACGATAATTGTTATCAATAGTTGATTAAAATTAACTGTCCAGGAATCCATGTGATCAAAATAAAAAAAAAGAATTTTCATTAAAATAAACTAAATGTTTTAGCGGATGTGATGTATAAATTTGGTGCACATACTGTTCTTGCTGTTGATGTTGGAGCACAAGATGAACAAAATTTTTATAATTTTGGTGATCAACTTTCTGGTATAAATAGACAAAAATTAAAATTTTGATTAATAAGTTTTAAAAAAAAAACTATCAAATTTAGGTTGGTGGATTTTATATAAACGTTGGAATATTTGGTCGACACCTGTTAAAATTCCTGAATTAAGTGAAATACAAACTCGTCTTGCTTATGTATCATGTCAACGACAATTAGAAATAGTAAAAAATTCGAATTATTGTGAATATTTACGTCCACCTATTGATCGTTATCGAACTTTACAATTTGGTTTATTTGATGAAATTCGAGTTCGAAGATTATAATTAATTATTTAAAGAACAAATAAATATTATTATCATATGTTTTTTTTTAGGACGTCGGTTATCATCATGGAAAAGCTGTTTTTCATGGTTGGTCTAAATTAGAATCATATGATGCTGTTTTTCTTAAACAAAAACTTCATTCATCTAGAGAAAAACAATTACGACTAGTAAATATAAATAATTGAATTTTCTTTTTTTTGTCTTAATCACAAAAACAAAATCATGATTTTTTGAAAATGTTTTTATAGCGTAAACAAGAATCAAGTGGAACGAAATTTATTGATCTAGCTGAATTAATAACTCGAGTACGTGAACCACCAAAAGATGATTATGACGACGATGATGATGAAGAGGGTGATGATGATGACGAAATTGGTAAAATAAATATTTTCTCTTCGATATTTTTTTTTTGTGAAACATGATCTAAAAGGAGTATTGAAATTTGGACTTCCCTTTCACAGACATTCTTAGTAATGGTTCATTAAAGAGCGTAACAGATGTCTTAGCCACGAACTACATCGTGTTTCATATTTTAATCTCATAGGGATTGTGCTATTCATTTTAAAACTAAATCTTTTATAAATTCATTTTTAGCAACAACGAATACTGAAGATTCCCATACGTCAATTTCAAGTAATACAAAGCCTCATACAAAAAAAGTATTACATACAAATAATCGATGGCTTAGTCATGTTAGTGGTGGTGGTTTAAAACGTTATAGAAGACGTGTATGTTCAATTTAGAATTAGTAAAAATCAAATTATTTTTTTTTTTTGTTTTTGTAAATTTAGGTTCGATTACGTTCTCGTCCTATAACACCACCTATAAGTGTTCAAGGAGATAGTCGACAAGTATTATCTACGGTGACTTCTAATGATGACAATTAATCTAATCACGTAATTAATCATACTGATAAAATTGTCTCATATTCAAATCCCGATCTTGTAATACGATGTTTTCAATGCTTTGTTTTTTAATTTATTATTTCATTGTCTTATTTGTATTCGTTTTTCCCTAATTACAAATTAAATAAGTTCCAGATGCACATCTATTCCAACAAATATAAAAATATTTATTATGAAACTTATTATACTATGAATTATTTAATTGAACAGAAGAGTTTAATATATAAGATAAGTTTTTTCTTCTCTATCTTATGAGAAATCAACTCAAATCAAATGGATATTGAGTTTTGTTAGTTTATTCAAAAAGAAAACAGGAAAAGATTTATAATAATTTTATTTGAACATATAAATCTATAAATAAGTTTTCATAAGATTTATTTTAACCATAAAATGTTTCGCAGCGTCTAAAAAATATAATTATATTAAAATTTATATTTTTCATATAAAAGTTTTTTTTTCTTACCTGCACATGTAATCTGGTCGTTGATTAGGATTTGAACAATAATTATTTGCTTGTCCTTGTATACGACGACGACATGTACATCGTGGTATACTATTACCAGGTACAGTTGAACATGTTGATGATATAAGACATTCAGGTTGACAACGTGGTTGAACACATTGACATAATACTGAATCAAGTATCTAATTTAAATAAAACAAAAAAAAACCAACGTTGTATTTTATATTACCAATAAAAGAAAAATCTTACTTTGCCTTCTCGAGAACATTCATCCTCTTTTTTACTACATTTACATTCACATTGTGTATGATTCATTAATGTCAATGGACGATTAACTTCATATTGACTTGTATCATCCAAAGAGATTAATAATAACTAAATAAAAGAAAATTTTTCTATATGAAAAAAGAAAATCTTATTTTTCTTTTTTACTAACTGGACTAAATGTCACTGGTACTTGTCGTGTCGATACACAAGAAAATTGAACTTCTTGACAACAACCACCACATCGATGTATTTCAAGACATTGTGGATAGGATATTGCATTGTGACTTACTTTACGATCAATAGGTACTTCTTCACATATAACACGAGGTTCACAACCACCATTACGAGGTTCAATTGTTAAACGTGTATCTTAAAATATAATATAAATAAAAAATAAAAAATGTTTATGCAAATACCTGTCTTTAACTGTTGAGCAGCTGTTTGAATTGCTTCTTGTTCTTTTTTCAATGCATCAGGAGTTAATATTGCTGATATAACAATGGAAAAAAAATTCAATTTAGATAAATTAATTCATTGATATAATATACAGGGTTTTATCCAGTATATAGATCGAGGGATGGCGTCTCTCCAAAAACTAGATTGATCCTTCCGAAGTTTGAGGTTATTGTACTATGCACAATGTGTCAGTGCTATCAAAAATAAGTATTCACTCTCGCACAGTTTTATATTGTCCCTTCAAACGCAAAAAAATCCGGATAAAACATTGATGATACATACATTGAAGATCTTTGTTATTTGAACTTTTAAGAATAACCAAAACTTCTCGAATTGATTTAGCTTGAGCTAAACGAGCACGAATTTCTGCTTGTTGATATTTATTCTATATAAAATAAGAAATCAACTTTTTTTTCTCAAAATCTAATACTTTTCATGTTCATACCTCTTCACCATTTATAAAATTACTCAATAAAATTAAAATATACATTATAAATAAATACATCTTCATCATACTTTGATGTTTGTGCAACAAATATATTTGTTATGTCTTATAGAAAATTGTTTCATATATGAGAAAAATCTCACATATATAAATAGATATCGCCTAATCTACTAAAATGATAAATAGCCTCCATGTCATTTTTTGACTCATGATACTTCGCATTTTTCTATGATATTTATTTATTTATTTTTCTATATTATACATAATATCATATAACAAATCATTGTCAAGAGAATATATATATATATATATTTTTTTTCATCTGTCTTTTATCTTCATGGATATTTCATACATTTCCTAAAAAGGAAAAAAGAAAATTTATGAAATATATAGAATGATTAATAGGATAGATATAAGCTGACTTGCAACGAGCATCAGGCTGATAACCTGATGGACATGAATATGCGCCATTTTGGCCTGGAATAGGTCGTTTACATACACATGATGGTTTATCTTGTGTATTAAGTAATTGGCAGCGTTGCATTGCTTGACATTGAGGAAAGCAAGCTTGTTCCCTACATCGACATAATTCATGATCCAATACCTGGAGAAATTTATAGATGAAAAAGAAAAAAACGTTTTTATTTTTTGTTATACATACTTGAGCATTACTTGGACATGCATCTTCTTTTAATTTACATTTACATGTACATTCTGTATGATTTTCTGTTTTAAATGGTTTTAATGCAGCGATTGGTGGAATAGATCCTTCACCATGTTCAAATTTAATAATCTAAATAAATTTTTTTTTGTTGTTGTTGTTGTTGAAATGATTATTTTAAAAACAAATGAAATTATTTACAGGACTGAATGAAACAAAATCAATTTTTGTTGGTTCACATGAAAATTGTGTTTCTTGACAACAACCAGAACATCGATGAACTTCAACACAATTAGGAAAAACAATACCACCTGTTGTTGCTTGTTGAGCATAAACTGGAACACATGTTATACGTGGTAAACATCCACCATTTACATATGGAACAATCTTATCATCTATACTTAGGTATTACAAAAAAAAAAGAATAAGTCACATAGATTTCTAATTAATATTAAAACCTTTTGGTAAATCAAAATCAGCCAATTGTATATTAATTTCTTTTTCAATTTTACGAAGATCCGCTTTAAAAGAAAAACAAAATATAAATAATAAATAAAAACAAAAGATTATTGCTCTTGAGACTGTACTTTGCATAGCTACTTGATGCCTATTCCTCACATTTGCATCAGCATATATAGCAAGAGCTTGTTTTAATGTACGAGCTTTTGATAATTGTGCTTTGAAATTTGCAAGAATAAGCTATTGAAATCGAATAAATTTAATATCTTGAATATTTTATGAACTTTTACCTGATCACGTGTAGCACCACTAGCTCCATAACTCCAATAAAAGTTTAATATTATTAGTATAAATATGCATAAAATGAGATTGCAAGTCATTTCTATGATTAAGAAATATGTATGCTGTATACAACTGTTGAGATAAAAAAAAAATATCTATCTATATACGTCGTCAATGCTCGATTAGCTTATCAAGCTTTTCTTTTATTTCTCTATGTTATTAATCATTAATGACATTCGTTTAACAGATACAAAATATGGCTCATCAAACAAAATACAACGATGCAGTAATAAATTTGCCAGAAACATCATTTAGCAGACATCAGTATCACCATATAAAAACTATTATCATATGTTAAATATCACACGCGCAAAGAAAAAAAAAAAAGGCAAAGGAGATAATAATTTATCCAGAAGTAACACAAGCCGTATTTGCAGCTATCCAACTAGTGCCAGTTGGACAAGCACATGTACCCCCATTACAATAAAGTGTTATAAGACATGTATAATTAGCTGATACTAAACATGAACCACCAAATGATGATCGATTTACTATTGTAAATTAAAAAGAAAAAAGAAAAGAAAAGAACGAGAATTAATCAAGAAAAATAATAGACTTAATATCTATACCGCATTGTAATGTTGTTGGATCATAATATTTTGTATTGTTACAGTTACAAACTAAATCAGGTAAATATCGAGAACAATTACATACACCTGGCACTGTCGGACAAATCAATGTTGGTAAACAATCACTATCAGATACACACATATCACTATAATTAAGACGTTGTTCTAAATATTTAGAGAAAAAAAAAAGAATTAAACAAATTTCTTTTTTATTTTCGAAAATAATATCAAAAAAAGATTTTACTTACTACATGCTTGAAAATTGATATTCCAATATTTTGTTGAATAATCACATTGACATCGACTATTATTACAAACAAGATCTTTTGTTGAATCACATTGATATGAACCTATTGTACATGACTGATTAACAGTATATGCAGTTTCTTAATTAAATTAAATTAAATTAAATTAAATAAGATAAAGTTTTTAGGAAAAGAAGATCGATATTACGACAAAGATTAGAAGAATTCAAAAATGTTCCAGCTGGACAGACGCAAGTTGATATATTCCACACTTTTGAATTGTTACATGTACAAGTACTCGTACAAATAAGGCCAACTGATGAATCACATTGATTGGATGTTGTACATGATTGATTATAAGTTAAATAGGTACCTAAAAACAAAAGAAAATAAATTTTCATAGACACATCATCCTAGGTCAACGATTAGATGTGTGGATCTATGAATTTCAAGCGGGAGTACGTCGAAAAATAATTAGAGCTTGAAAGCAAGAAGCTAGTAATTGGATCCGATGGCTGGTTCTAACCGTCCGAAATTGGAAAAATCTTATCACCGAATCCGTTAAATGAATTTCTGCTTACAAGTTCCTACCAGAGATGGGATCGGTTCAAATTTTTCAAAATTTAAATTGAACTGGAACCAAAATCGAGATAGGTTTGAAAAGCTGCGAATTGAACTGATTTTATCACTGTTTCCTATCATTTGACGGAGTTTTTCGATCAAAAACAGTTGTACTTCAATTATTCTTATCAGTCAACCATGAACAATAAAAAAAACTATGTAAACGTCAAGTTGCATTTACTCTTATGGTGCTATGACAATTCATCACGTGACATATTAATCTTAAAGTATGCTGAATGAGCATTGAAGGTAAGTGAGGGTGAGTGTTAAAGTCAGAGCTTCTGTAAGCGTATACAAAAGTTTTCTCGCTCATACTGGCACGTAAACACCCACAGCGAATTGTTCAGCCGCTTACTCTTATAATTATGCAATACTAAATAAAAATTAAACTTATTTATTGCTTCGAATAACTGTTCATATTCAAGGTGAGTATCTACTAGACGAGCATTCTATTGAATAATTTTCAATATAATCTTGTAGTTGATAGGCAAAGAAGTCCTTTTTTATGAAATAAAATATACATCTTCAAATTCTGCATTTAAAAATGACTCATACATATTCATCTGTATTTTTGAGTTACCGTGATTTTTTTTCAGCAACCATATTAGTATGTTCTTAGGTGTTTAAAAAAAAAACAAATGTGTACGCATATTTGTTCAGTTTAACGAATTAACTTGTTTAGAAAATCGAATATGAATCAAATGTATATTTTTCTAATAAGATATCGTTTATTATCATTTCGTATTTTTCCGAGATTTCTATAGAAAAATTTGATGAAATCTTACACGATGTCGTTGCCGTATTCCATGAATATGGTGATGAACAAGAACAAAATCCATTTGAACAAGAAAGACCTTGTGAAGAAATACACTGATTTGAATCAACTGTACATACTTCATTATATGCCAGCGAATTATCAGCAACAGTCTTTGCTAAAAGAAAAGAACTTAATTTAACTTTCTCGAAAAAAAAAACACTCATCTACTTTTTTGACCAAGTACTACGCCGATTACAGTTCCAATGATAGCACAAACAAGAACAATACCAACAACTACAATAACAATAACAACATATTTGGGTTGTGTTGATTGTGTTGTTGGTGTATTGAATGCCTCTGTCTAGAAGAAACCAAATTGATAAATTTTTTATAAATGAATATCGAAAAAAAAAGATTACATCAGTTAAATTTGGATCCCATGATGATTGTCCATCACTAAGACTACTTAACATGTGTGGTTCAGATTCATTTCTTGGAATTTCTCTAATTTGAATGTCACCACGAAATTGAATATTTTTTTGTACAACTCGTGCTTGCTGCATTTATTCTTATATGAATATTTCAAATGAAACAAACAAAATAATATTTAAATGAAAGAATATATGTTTATTTAACGTTTCCGATTGACTATATTGAATATGAGTAAAAAGGATTGTCAAATCATCGAACGAAAACAAAGGCGAAAAGGACAATGTAAAAAAAAATGAAATGTAATATTTGTTTGCTATGAAAATCTAAAGGTGACGCCTAAATATATGAAAATAAAGAGCAACTGATTGAAAAATGTTAAACAAATTTTCGTTGGTTTTTTTTTTCTTGTTTATACGAAAATTTATAATTCCATTAAATTAAAAATTGGGCAACATAATTATATATAAAGCAATATTTTTTGAAAAAAATCAAACACAATTGTTTGTTGAACTAATTCAGTTAAACACTTGACATATTTGCATTTCTATCAATTGAGAAACTATCATGATTAGTTGTATAATTATTACGTTCATGATTAATTATTTGAGGTCTTTTCTTTATTAATGATTGCCACCATAATTGAATTTGATGATGAATTGTTTTATTCCAATATAATATAGCAGTACTATCAATTAAAATACATATTAATGGTAAAATAAGTGTAAATAAATAAAATATATCTGGAAGTTTTCCTTCTTTATCAAATATTTCAATTATTATAAATGGTGTCCATCCTAATAAGAAAATAATTGTAAAGAATGAAAATTGTCTTAATAAACGTAAATTTCGACGTTTACGTCGATTTAAACGACATTGTTTCATTCGAGATAGAAAAGGTATTTGTCGTGAATATGTTACATTTAAATAAGTAACTAAATTCATTAATGATATAAGTACAAATGGTATAATATAACCAGTACAAAAATAGATAAATAATAATGGTGATTGCTGATTAATTGTACATATTTTAGCTTTTGATTGAAATATTATTTGTTGATTTGGTAAAATTAAACTTATACCTGGTAAAAAGATAGCTAATATCCATTTTGATATTAAACAATTCTTAATATAATGAATTTTCGTAATTTTTCTATTAAACGGATAAATAATTGTTAAGAATCTAATAAATGTAACCAATGTATATGAAAGCATTACACTATGAGTACTTGATATAACAAGAAATCCAATGAATTGACATAAATATGAATTTATATTTTTTGTATTTAGAATACACATTGTAAGACTAACTGAAACAATGCATGATAACGAAAAATATATACAAGCACAACAAACATTTATTAAAAGAAGATTTTGTGTTGTACGTAGACGTTTAATACGAGTTAAACTTGCAATAAGAAGTATATTAATAATAATTATACATAAACCAATAATGTATGTAATAATACTTTTTAAAATAATACTTATAAGAATAGGTATAGATATTGAACTGATTACTCCATATGATGACATCTTTTTTTTTCAAATGTAGAAATCAATATGAATTACGAGATTTATTTACGTAATCAAAATCAACATATAAAAATAAGTCTATCATATATTATTCAACAAACAAACTGGAGTATTTATTTATCTATGCACATATATTGTTTTTCTTCAATAAAAAGAAGCCCAAGAAATAAAAAATACAAATAAAACATATAAAAAGCAAGAAGAGCTATATATTATTCTCGTCGATTTCCTCTATTATAAAAGCAGCAAATAAACTCTTAATAAGAAAAGCAAGTCAACACGACATGTTTTATACTTAATGGATCTATGAAATAAAGAATGATTTAACATAAATCATTGTATTGGATTCTTTTATGATTCACATTAATAATTGTCAGAGGATATAAATGAGAATTTTTCTTAAGAGATATTTATTTCACAATAAATTCAATTTAAGAATCAATTAACCTAGATATTTGATTTCATAATGTCATGAAATGTTTTTTCATTATTTTCACAGTTACATTAGAAAATATCTGAACATAAAACAAACTGTTGTATAATATTTAGAGAGAAATTACCTTTTTCCTATTGTAAAATATTAAATAAAAACTAAGGTCATAATGGTGTAATCAGAAAAAAATACAATCCATCTACCATTAAATACAACAGATCGTTGGAATCGTATTTCTCTGCAACCGTAGGGTTCAATAATACGGCAACATGACGATGTCTTTACAACGTTTTACAGTGATCTGTAACAATTAATCTGAGATTTTGAGAGATGTAACAACTATAACAGTCTAAACTTTTCAAGAATCAAAACAAGATAATATAGAATGTTTTCGCATATGATAATGTACAAAATGAAATCATCGCGAAAACAACCATTTACAAAAAAATACTGAAAAAATTCATTTTTACAGTATGTTGTTTCGATAGACACATTAGATAAAAGGATCGTAGTAGAGATGTAACCAATCTGAAATTCATACCGACGCAGGACTGATGAGTTGTCGTACTAATCCATCTATGGATAGTAATATTTGACATAGTTAGGTTTTAAGAAAGTTCCATTACACATCCTCTATGAAATATAAATAGCAGGAAAAAAAATTCATAAAACACACCCGTAACAACCGGTCGGAAACCCGTGCTGGTACCGATTCTATTTCTGAATCGTAGATTCATTCTCATAAATATAGATTAGACGGTTCTCTTTGTATTTTACAACGTTGACCAAACGATATCGAATGCTTGTGCTATTTCTATGTGCAATTTATCAGAACAGCATACCATTATCAAGAACTTTTTCAATATGATTTGTGTTAGATGATTGCATTGTTAATAATGATGTGCTGGAAAAATAAGAAAAAAGTGATGCCTGCAGTAAAGAATGACTTTAAGCACCTATATTTTATTGTTATTTTTCTTATGAATCTACTAGTTTAGATTTGTAATCCGTAATAATAATGGTGAATAACACCTGATATTGATTAATTAAAAGAGTCGGATAAAGAACTATATTATTATAACTAGAATTCTATTATCATAGTTGCAGCTGCTCTATCTTCACCAGACTTAACTTAACTAAAATCATCAGCTATTTCATTTATTCATTCGCAAAAATAAAAACCTTTGGTCATAGCAAATGAATATGTTTTTAAATTGCACAAAAACAATAACAACTACCAAATATTGAAAATGTGTACTTGATAGATATTCAGCAAGAGCTCATACAAATTTGAATGATCAATATATGTGTATTCAATTTAATGCAGGTCTAGGAGCAAGACTGAAACAAGTCCAAACGATTCTAATTTAACATCGTATTGACAATCTTGATGAACGATTTTATGATGGTATTATAAATGCTATGGAATATTTAGATGTTTTCTCATTTACAATTGCTAAATGAAAAAAAAATTACATTTTATACATTTTTTCTCTAGGATTATGTTTGATTTCTGTTATAATACTAGTATTATCTCATATAACAAAACATAGTTGAAATTTTTTAAAATATTTTTCGTTCATTTTCCACATCGATGTTTTTTATTCGACATTTTTACGGCTAATCATTAACAATCATATGTCTCATACAATATGTTCTATGAAATAGGATTTTCGAATCATCTCTTTCAATTTCTAGTTGCTACCATTTTCGAAATGTTCATTTAGCACTTAACATTTTGTAATTTAAATGTTTGAAATCAGTTTTTTCAATCAGCCGACACTTCGAGTTTTATTTTAACTAACAAAAAAACTCAATACAATAAACTTGTATTAAATATTTCAATCTACATTTAAAAAGAATTACATCTTACGCAAGTATTAATTCTATATGATTTTGTCAAAAATCAGTTAGCGCCATCTTTTATTTATGTTTTCTTAATGATGAAAAAAAAAATCTGCTCAATGACTCAGAATCATACTTATACTTTCAACCTATCTTTCTTTTACTCATATCAGCAAAAGAATAAACTAGATTTTTTTTTTGTTTTTATTTTTTTTTTCTTTATCGGTGTAACGTCATTTATATGAAACAGACGTTTTCTTTGTTTTTCTGACGTATTCTTCCTGATGAATCATTTTTACTAATTTATAAACCAGCACAAGTCTTCTTGTAGATTTGTTTCATATATATATTTTTTTTAAATATTTGTTGAGTATTGTTTTTTTGGTGTATTATTAAAAAATGAATCGACTTTTTGGTCAATCAAAAGCTAGTGCTGTACCAAAACCAACATTAAATGACACTGCAGCAACGCTTGATTCACGTGTTGAAACATTAAATAAACAAATCGCAACAATTGATCAAGGTTGATTACCTTTATTTTGAGATTAATAATTATTATTTTATTTTATTTTTAATATTTAGAATTACAAGCTTATAGTAAATTACCTCCAGCTAGAAAAGTAAATTCTTTTTTTATTTAACAATTTTTTTAAAATAAGATAATCGTTTTGTTTATTTAAGGCAGGTCAAAAAGCACGAGCTATGGCTCTTTTAAGTAAAAAGAAAATGTAAATAATAAACTAAAATTTTGTTTTTATCAAAAATTTTATTTATAAATTCTTTCTAGGTATGAAAGACAACGTATGACATTAGAAGGACAAGCAGGTAATATAGGTGCAACTGCATTTGCTGTTAGCAATATTGAAACACAAAAACAAATTGTAGGAAAATATTATTTTGATAATTAATAATAGTCTATATTTTCTTTTTTTTTTTTTTTGTTTCTAGTTTACTGGATTAAAAGATGCTAAGAAACAATTAGTTAAAGGCTATAAAGATTTAAAACCTGACAAAGTTGAAGTAAGTTATATGATTTATCGGACAGAATCTTTTGCTTTTAATAAACAATGATTTTTATTTAATAGTTAAAATTTTAGTTGACTTAATGAATGATATAAAAAATAATCATAGGAACAAAAAAAATAGACAAGAACTTTATAAAAACTCGAATTGTTAACTACAATTATGATTTTAGCATTAAGGACTCCGTTTTCGGAGTTTCTGAAGAATATTTGAAACTTTCACCGTAGATATGTCTCGATGAGTAGAGCAAAAATAGTCATAGACTTCAAATACAATCAAAATACTGACCATTTCTCCAAAAATCATCAGTGCAATACTTTTCAAAACAAACCAAAGTAGACACTTCAAACAAGAGATTCTGAATTTTTTTGTGTACAAATTGATTTCTAAAAAAAAAATCAAAAAAATAAATTTTCCTATATGTATTAGGGCTTTTTTTTCTCCAATTAAAATGATCGAAAACTGATTGTATTAGAAGTCGATGATCCATGATATCAGTACCTTTGAAATTAAAAATAATCACCACTATTAGGAAAATTTTGTATACAAAGAATAATCATAGCGCAAGTTTTTCTACTAGGAATTTCGAGAGTTGACTAACAACGAAGAGTCCTTATTTATATGACATTTGATAGATGACACTTCGAAGCTATATGAAACTGTCTACTGAAATAATAGTATAGTCATTCTAATAATATTAGCTATGAATGAGTAATTAACTAATGTCGACGTTTATTATAATTAGTTTTAATTTCTTTATCCGAAAAAGAATTATATGAAAAGAGTTAACATTGTTCAAAATCTGATTTTTTTCAATACAGCACTCTTTGGATAGGAGTGTACGCGATAAAGTGCAGATGATGAACTTTTGCAAGTGATAAAATATCTAAAAAAAAAAAAGTTTCAGTTTACGTTAGTTAATCATAAGAGTTTTAACTCCGTTCTATGTATATATCAGAATAAGAGATGTGCGGAACTAGTTTTAGTTCCAATCATCCCGATCATTGGAAGTATGAGGGAAAAAAAACGTTGTTCAAATCGAAACTAACAATTTTAGTTAAATTTTCTATGATTTTTATCGATTTATGCTATAAATCACATCAATCAAAGCAAATTTCAGGAAAAATGACATGCGCTGGCCGTATTAATCAAAATACGAATATTTAAGAGTTTTTCTGATTTAATGTACATAAATTCTGAAATAGTTTTCTCTAAGTCTGAATCAAGATCAGATCGGATTTAACAGAACTATGACGGAGATTAGAACTAAAAAGAACATAGTCTTGCACATCTCTGAGTAAGAACTTATTTATCGATGTAACAAGGGTACGTTCAGTTCGATTCGAACTTTTTAAAAGTTAACGCGAGAATCTTCTCAGATGTTCCCTTCTTGTTTCAATGATTTGGGTTCCTATCGAGATTTGACTATGCTATCGAATTTTGATCTGAAAATTTATGCATGTAAAGAACTCAACTAGATTAGCTTCCTTTTGAACAATGTCTGTTTGAGATATGAAGCTGTCGAAAAATGTATATTGTATACACTCTCCATAGAAAAAGATTTATATCTTAAAAATCTCATATTTCAGAGAGACTTTATTCAAAATTTCTGAATTTTTTTTATGGAAGTCAGAGCTTTTAGTGTTTTACTAAAAACACTACATAGTATCTATAGACTAAAAAGAATGTGAATTGATTCTATTTGTGCAATATAAGAATTGTTTCTAATACAACAAAAAAATGTAAAATTCAATGATTACATCTAATGAATGGATTATTAATTTTTTCTTTAGGCGCTTATGGATGATCTTGATGATCAACTTCTGGATCAAGACGAAATGAATGATATGTTTAGTCGACCTATTGGTCAAGATATGTATACGACTGATGCTGATCTTGAAAATGGTATGAAGAAAAAATTTATTGTTGACTTTCTTTTTTAATATGTAATATTTGTATTTCTTTTAAAGAATTGGCTGGTCTTGCTGAACAAGAATTTGGTATGGATTCTAATGCCATGTTTAATGATTTACATGCACCTAGTGTTCCTGTTCAACCACTTGATGCTGGTAATGCAGCAGCTTCAACAACTAAAGTTAGTATTTGATTTCTGTTTTTTTTTTTGGTTTTTATATTCTTATTTTTGCTTTTTACTAGGACGGTGTTATGGTTGATGAATTTGGTTTACCAAAACTTCCTGCATCAGGCATGAGGAATTAATTCATTGATTTTGTATTAAATAACTCATCCAATCCTTCTTTTCTTGTATAAACATTTTATTGCTGCTTTTTTTTGCTATTTCCTTTCGCTTTTCAATCTATGGAATAAACAAAAAAAAACAACTTTAACTATTCAATTGTCTTTATTCGAATTTAAGTGATAAATATTTATTTAAAAAAAAAAAACAAAAAAGAAAACGAAACATAGACATAAAAAGAAAAAGTTCCAATTTCAGAAACATTTTTTCCAACAAGACATTTTTCCCATAATCGACCATCGAACACATCGACATTTACCTGAACAACATTGATAATCATGTGAACAATAATTATTTTTTAAACGGCATCCTTCTTGATTTATTCCACTTAAATATATACCTCTTCCACCATAGGTATGACGATTTGACGATGAAATTTGAGATTGATATGTTTGTGGATGACCACGATTATGATTATCACGTGAAAATTGATCAAAATGAAAATGACGTGATTGAATAAATGTTGGAGACATTCCACGTGAATATGATATTGTATCTAATTGTTTAGTATTTTCTTTTAAAAAATCATTTCCTGTTTTAGATGGATTTGTATTAATAGACGGAGTTCGTATACGACCTGATGATTGGCCATAAAGTTCTTGAACTAAAAATATTTAATATAGAAATTAATGGTAACCATGTTATTCGTCGAAAGGCAGTTGGTCGAAAAATTTTCGTCGACACTACATTTCGTCGACACGGCACTTCGTCGACACAACATTTTGTCGAAAAGCATTTCGTCGACAAGACACTTCGTCGAAAAGCATTTCGTCGACACGACACTTCGTCGAAAAACATTTCGTCGACATGACACTTTGTCGAAAAACATTTCGTCGACACGACACTTCGTCGACAAAGCACTTCATCAATAAACTCAGATGGATATCTGTTTTTCGTCGAAAGTATTTTCTTGGCTATGGAGAGTACCGCGAATGTAAAGGTGAGGTGAGGGCGAGGGTGAGGGCAAGGACCATGTAGGCGTACTCCAGATGTGAGAGTGAGTATGACGTCAAGGCAAGGGTGAGTGAGAGTGAGCACGACTGTGAGGGCAACACTCATGCAAGACACTCCAAATGTGAGGGTGAGGGCACTACAAACGTGAGTGTGAAAGAAAATTCACTGTCCTCTTAACTCTGAACAGTTCTGTAAAAGAATTGAAGGATCCGGGATTGTCTCGGGGACTACAAACCTTGCCTTGAAGTACTTTTCGACGAAAAGTATGTAATTCTATTCAATAGTGTCCTGAAATTCTTCCACCATCACAAAAGGGACAAAGTTAATTAGGAGATACTTTTGAACTTGTCTCCTGATGGCGAGATAAACAAGAAGAAAATAATTCACTTTCGACGAAATGCTTTTCTACAAAAAAAAATTTCGACAAAATGTCTTGTCGACGAAATGTTCTTTCGACGAAACGTTCTTCGATGAAATGTTCTTTCGACGAAATGCTTTTCGACAAAAAAATTTCGGCAAAAATTTTTCGACAAAGTTACTTCGACGAAAAGTCTGTCGACCAAAGTGTCATTCGACAAACAACATACCATTCGAAATTAATCATATATATTTTTTGAGTCATAATTTTTTTCCGTCATCAATATTGTTGTTAGAAAAAAAATAATCGTTGGTTTTTTTCCCTTTCTTTTTCTTCCGTTCTTTTCCTTAGTTTATAAAAACAAATTGATATAAATAAAAAAACAACCTTTCTGTGTGTTTTTTTACTTTAGATGACATCGACAAAATCTGAAAAGACTTTAGATGAGGCAGAACAAGCAGTTCAAGCTAGACAAGATGACAATGATTCATTTAATCAACAATCAAATCAAATACTTTCTGATCCATGTAAATATGTTTTGTATTGTTTTCTTTTTTTTAAACTCAATTAGCTTTACCTGCATGTATTTCTTGTCGATTAAAGGTTATTATAAAAAATATTCCGACGAGAATTAATTGTAACATATGCATGTTTTAATATTCATAAATTCAAATACAAATGAAAAATGAAAATTGTACGAAATAGACGGAGTATAATTAAATTCGATTTTTTTTTCTTTTCTATATGTCTAACAAATGTACGAGTTCATAATGTGAACCATAGTATTGGTCGATTTGTCACAGGGAGGTCACATAGTAATGTGAGTTTCGTTCTGTTACATTTTTTTCTCTCTCTATGAATATTAATAGTGACAATTATAATAGGCCGTTAGAAACAGTGCAGAGCACTATTTCTCTAGAGTGCTTGTGTTCTTTTAAGAATCCTTGATTTTAAAAACTGCCGGCAAATAAATCTTCAAAAAACAACTAAATAAGACCACAATTGAAAAAAAAATGCGCATGAATATTTTTTTTATTACCAAATTTATTATTGATACAATAACAGATAGTATAAAAAACAATAGTTATACTTTTATAGAAATAGCTAAGACAAAAAATATTACACAAAATAGAATAAATATTAGAAACAGAGAGGGTATGGATAAATGAAAAGAAGATCCACACCATTCTGTATCATTGTCCTGAATTAAAGATATCGTTTTTATCAGATGAGATTATTAAGGGATGTATCGGAAAAGTTTTTAGACAAGATGCTTGTTTACTTTTGATCTGCTAGAAAGTATCAAAAACTATGAGTTAAGATGTTCTTTTCGAATATAGGCTTAGAATTTTTGTCTTAATTACAGCAGTGTTCAGACTTCCGAAAAAGGAAACTTCAGAAGTTTCAGAGATTTCAAGCATTTGTGCTCTGAATTTTATGTTACTTCCTAAAATGATGTAATTTTCGAAATTTCTGCAATTATGCACTTACAGAAATTTCCAATATGTCTAAAAACTTTTGATTTGCATTGGTATATAGTTATCGAGCTGATGGAAATTTCAGAAATTTGGGTAATTTTCTTTTTTGAAAATCTGAACATACCTCCTCAATTAGTGTTCAAGAATAATGAAATAACCTTTGAAAAGCTCCCGTAATTAGTTTGGACGAAAAATTTTTGTATTTTCATTATTGAGATTCAAAACTAAAAGTCAGGATCTTTGTTTATATATCGGCTTGCAGATCAGAAACTACTCTACAAAATACATTATTTGAAGATACTTTTTGTCCTTCGACAAGATGCCTCAAGTTTCGTTTTTGCTAAACACTGATTTTTCAAAAAATCAACCACTGTTTTACATTGACAGAAGCTCTTGAAAAAACGCTTGTAGCCTCACTAGAGTAGAAGTTGCCGCTTAATTTAATGTTACATTTTGTAGAGAAGTGTCTACTCTACAAAACGACCAAATTCGACAATTTTTAACATTGAAAAGAGACTTATAGAGTCAATAAAAATCTTTTGGCTCACTATGAAAAATAAGTTTTCAAGTCTTTCAAAAAGTTCTTCATTACTCTCCAACAAAAATCAAGATAAAATTTATAAATCTATATTTCGAATAGAGAATAAAAATTCTGATTCTAATTCATAGCTTTTGATACTTTCTGTCGGATCAGAAGTGAATAAACATTTTGTGTAAAAACTATTCAATCACTCAATTTTATTTATTTAACTTTGTTTTATCAATCAATTAGCCTTTGAGATTAATACATTATCTGCCATAAATGCATAATCTATTAATTATAAACATAAGCGACGTAAGATCAATCGATAAAGTTTGAAATAGATCTATCTTATCTCCTTCCCCATAATAGTGATCATTGCACCAGTAAAACTTGTGTCGCTTGAATTTAATTTTTCTCAAAGCCATGATATATGGAGACTTGAGTATGTTGCATTATCAGACAGTATATTATGAACTTCAAATTAATGTAACACTGTTTTATTGGAAAAAAAGATTTACATTAAATAGTTTAAGAAAAACTCAAAATATTTTTGCTCTTATCTTTCATTTACTGACTATGATAGTCTTGCCTTGATATTCATGTAAAACTTTGTATGAAATTTAAACAATTATTCTTTTCTTCAAAAAAATTACAGGCATAAGAATCAACTGGAAGGATAGAAGTGCTGTCATTCAGATTGTCTAACTATTTATTGTTAGCAGTTAGTTGATCCTCTCTCTAATTTCGAAGTAATAGATAAATTTTGAGTTTTTTTCGGACACTTTGATTTTTAATTTATCAGTCTAAACTGTTAATTTTGTTAAAAAGAAAACAAAAAATAAACTATGAATGCTAAACGGCAAGTGTACTTTTATTGGTAACAAATAGCAAAGAAGATTAGTTATTGCATTTTGTTCGTTAAATTTTGATTAATCGGACTTTAATCGTTTTGATTAAAGTCATTAAATATTGTATAATCAGTTTTAGAGAGATGGAAACCGATTTAGAATTATGCAATTGATTTTGTTCCAACCGTAAACCTTGAAGATCCCTTATTGAGCCAGGAAAAATTATTCAACAAAGTTTACTTTCAATTTTTTCCGATCGCTGTAAACGTTAGAAAGAATCCAACTAATGATTCGAATAAAGAAAATAGCTTCTAAAAGAAATGTAAGAAAATAAAAATTATTGTCAATTTTCCAAAGACAGGCGGCACTATAGAAAATCAAAAGACTAGTTTTTCAGCAGCAAGAACGAGCCGGTATAGTTTTGCTTAGACTACATAAAACGATAGAGCAAACAATTCGCTACAAAGTGAAACATCTCCGAGTTCTCTTCGACGTTTTTTTTCTGAAATACAACAATCTTTTGAAAGTTCCTAAAGTCGGTTTTTTTTCAGTTTCTTATATAAAAACCATATTTTTTTATCTTCAATAAAATAGCTATACCTCACCAAAAAAACATTGCAGAAAACTCGGCAATGTATCATTTTGTAGAGGATAGTTTACTCTATCGTTCTATGTAGTTTTGAGAAAAAAAATGATATTTACGCATTCTAAGTGTTGAAAAACCAGGGTTTGGGTTTTCTAAAGCTCCTATCTTTGTGAATCTGATAATATTTTTTATTTCGTTTTATTCTTGTTGAAAACTATTTTCTCTATTCGAAACACTAGTTAGATTCTTTCTAACGCTTACGGTAGCGGAAAAAAATTGGAAATAGAGCTTGTTCAATAATTTTGCTACCCGTTGTATATGAAGGAAACTGTGTTTATCAAGATAACAATAAACAAAATCATGAGACTATGAGTAGAGCTCGTCGGATTGGTCTCGGACCTGATCGGATCTGGATTCGACAACTTTGAACCCGATGAGCTCTACTCTACACATTTCTTAGACGAGTCGTTTGAGAAAAGTGTAGGATAAACTAGCCGCCGAATACAAAAAAGCACAAAAAAAAGTATTTCGTATCTTCGGAGTGGCTATCCTATTACAATTAGAAACTTTCATTGAAAGTATCAAAGGACGGTTCGATCAGATCCGAAAATTTTGGACTTGACGGATTCTAACAATGGGTCAATCCTCCTAAATGAACTACAGAGTCGTATTGAATATATATCCTCCTTAAAAAAAATAGTTAGACTTAACATTTGTAACATATCATTACTATTGA